AGATCTAATCCACATCTAGCAGGACCAACATGACATGGGTTTTCTTTTTTCACAAGCAGAAAACGGTTTCCTTTTCATCACTGTTTTGCATTGAATTTTTGTGCAAATTAGGCTTGCCGCATAAATTGATATTCGTCTCATATACTTTGTAGCAGAGAATTGTCTTTGATAAGCCGCCTCCAAATTGTTTTCTTGCAAAGTATTCTGCTGTCCTCAACCTATTTAGAAATTATATTATTGCAAGGGGCATATAGCTTTCTCCTCGGTGAGCTACACCGATTAGTCAGAGATTCGGTGTATCTATGGAATATAGACTTACGCCTTTAAAATCCCAATCTTTCACATAAAAATCTGAAGCATTGGACACAGTCTAAAGAAATCACAGTCAGATGAATTTTCCTGAAGTTCTAACGTTAACTAATCACGTAATCCATGTTATGCTGCAGGATATAGATAGCAAATTTGTGTTTAAGTGTCTCCACAGATTGGGGTATAACAATCGCCTCGGGTAGGTTAATCCACCGTTCCACAAACAAGGTAGAGGAAAAGAATACTTCCTTACATCCAATCTTCCTTCGGGCAGACGTACTTTGAAGTGATGTCCCCGGAGATTAGGTGTAGTGGCGAATTAGAAAACGTCATCACACAGGAAGGTGCATTCCAAGCCATTCACGATAGCGAAAGTTTGTAACAAGTCTCCGCTGTAACGAATTCACTACTTGAGTCGTCAAACTAGACATTTCCTGATAGATATCTCGCCTTATGGTGTTTTACAAAATAAAAAATTTAGGATAATGAGAATTTCGGGCGATAGCCTATTAGCCAGAAATGGCCATCTCAGTCTGCCTTGTCTACGTCGGTGATAATATCTGCCGAGACTACTAGCCACTATGTGGCTGCCGGCGGGGTGAGTTCCATTAGCGATCGGTGAGCATTCATCAAGGAATGTCAATATTCTGCAAATATTCCCATTCTTAAGTTGAGAAGTCAAGATTGGCAAACATATGTTTTCAGCAAATCATCATCATTAAGTTGGTTTGGCAGATTAAGTTAATTTAGTTGACCCAACGTACATTAGCCTAGTAGTCATTCGGTGGATTCTAGACGATTGCTTAGGAAATCCTGCTTGGGCAGTCAACTTGCTGTCCTCCATCGGTGA